GGTTGTGACTTTTCATTAAAAAACCGTTTAGCATTTATTTTCAAGAGTTGTGTTTTTTTCGATATAAATATTTTGTCAAGAGTTGTGAATTTTGATAACCGTTTTATGATTATTTCGAGGGTTGTGACTTTTCGTTAAAAAAAATCGTTTAGTAGTTATTTCTAAAAATTGCATCTTTTTGATATAACTATTTCGTCATGAGTTGCGAATTTTGGTAATCGTTTTGAGGTTATTTTCGAGGGGTTGCGCCTTTTCGATATAATCACTTTATAGTTATTTTCAAAGGTTTTACGTCATTTCGATATAACCGCTTTATGACTATTTCCAAAAGTTATGTCTTTTTGATACAACTGCTTTCTAGTTATTTCCAAAGGGTTGCGATTTAAAAAAAAAAACTGTTTGGCCTATTTATATTTTTATCTTTAACTCCATATATTTTCCTATTGAACAGTTTGAAACCTTTGAAAATTATTCAAAAGTATTGATCTTTTTACTATTGTACAAGTACCAATAATTATTGATTTGTTTAAAGAATTTTGAATTTTTTAGACAATGCAGATTTTATCATTGTTGGGTATGTTATGGTTGTAGAATTTTTCAAAAATCTATTCGCTCTTGTCCGTTTAGAGCTGAAGAATTTGAATTTCTATGAAACATTGGTGGATTCTATTTCCCGAGTAAAAAATAGTTTTTTTTTGCGGTTTTATTCATCCATAAAACTATTTTTAGAAGAATGTAACGATTCATATCTTCTTCTGTGCATTCCTGCGTTTGATATTCTATTTTTTTTTATGGAGATTGGAAATTTCAAACGAAGTTATGGATATTTGGTTTTGTTTTGAGGCATGTGGTATTACGGCTGGTCTAGTTTGGAAAGATAAAAACAAAAATTTGATCCAAACTTTGAAAGAGATGTGATTTTGGATTGTAAGTTTAATAAAAGAAAAAATCATAATTGATCCAAACTTTGAAGGAGATGAAATTTAGGATGGTAGATTTTCTAATTTTTGTTTACCAAATTTATTTGCATTTTTAAGCACCAAAGAATTGTTCTTTCATTGGTATTGACGGATTCTCATTGTTCCTTTGTTCACCATTCTCCATTTGCATCATACACTCCTAATACCAATTGGTTCTTTTGCTCTTTACTACTTTATTATCAATTGATATTGGTTATTTTTAAGTGTTGCGTCTATTCGATATATGATAGTGTCTTTTTGATATTACCACTTTATTGTTATTTTAAGGGGTTGCGTCTTCCCGATATAACCGTTTTATGACTATTTTCAAACGTTGTGTCTTTACGAAAAAACCGTTAGATCTATATA